ATGATGATGATAATGATGATGATGATGATGATGATGATGATGATGATGATGATGATGATGGTTGTGATGATGATAGTGATAGTAATAATAGTACTACTAATAATAGTTATAATAATAATAGCAATAATAAAGATGATACTGATGAAATAAACAAATAAATCATAGGAATAATAATAACAATAATAATTATGATAACTACTTTGAAATTTGTTTGCACATAGATAGCTTCACAAGTTCTCAGCCATCAAGGAGTCAATAAAATGGCTCTTTATTATTTTTTTTTTTTTTACTTTTGTGTGTGTGTGTGTGTGTGTGTGTGAGTGTGTGTGTGTGTGTGTGTGTGTGTGTGTGTGTGTTTGTGTGTGTGTGTGTGTGCGCGCGCGCGTGTGTATGTGCGTGTGCTGTTATTATCCATACTTTTATCATTATTATTGACTTTATGATCATTGCAATATCATCAATACTAACAATTCTTGGTGACTAGGCACATGTGGAGCCATCTTTGTGTGGTATTCATGACGAACAGATTGCAACAGGAACAGCGAAGGGAAGGACAAGAAAACACACGAATATGCCGAAGGCCTTTTCGTTAATGTTTCGTATGCCCTGACGAAGCATAAGCGAAAAGGCTTTTGGAATATTCGTGTGTTTTCTTGTCCTTCCCTTCGTTGTTCCTATTGCAAGCCATATATGTGTTAACAAATCTAACAGACTAAAATCACACCAGGCATGACAGTTGTATATGAACCACCCTTGTGCCAGTGAATTATATTTTAAATATATTTTTTTCACAATTATCATTTGCTAATGAATAATTTTCCGAATTTTATAGATCTCTTGGGTTCTGTAAAAGTATCTAGTTTAGTAAGTTTCTCCATTTCTGTAAAACTTGTGTGAGCATAATGTTCACGGCAATTGAGTGTAACAAATGTCTTCCCATTTCAACATATATAAGTTTTGTAAATTTCTCGGATTTGTGAATGCTTCTCGAGTTTTGTAAATGTCTCGCGAGTTCTGTTAATGTTCATAGAATTCTGTAAATGTCCCATGAGTTTTGTTAATGTTTATAAAATTCTGTAAATGCCACGAATTCTGTTTAAGACCTCTAGAATTCTGTAAAGTCCCATGAGTTTTGTTAATGTTTATACAATTCTGTAAATTTCTCACGAGTTCTGTTAATGTTTATAGAATTCAGTAAATATCTCACGGGTTCTGTTAATGTTTACAAAATTCTGTAAATACCACGACTTCTGTTTAAGGTCTCTAGAATTCTGTAAATGTCTCGCGGGTTCTGTAAATCTCCCAAGTTTCGTAAGAACCTCACGGGTTTTCATCTCAGGGACTTTGTAAATACCTGAAGAGATCAATAAACAGATCTCGGACAGTATAATTGCCCCAAATATTCAGCAAATATCTCCAGACTTCCGCAAACACGTTGAAATCTCACGTTATCAACATTATTTCCCTGCCTAAGCCTTGTAATTATCTCTCGAATTTTGTAAAAGCAATACCAAGAGGTTCCGTAACCACCATTCCTGCTTTGTAATTGTCTCCCGTCCTGTCAAATCGGCCAAAAATCAATCAAATCCGAAACCAGCCGCCGCCACCGAGAATATTTAAGGCTCTTCACAGGCGGTCAGTGTGTGTTATCTGTAACCCTTTCCCGCTGTGACAAAATGTTATTTCTCCCCCTCCCTTCTGTTGCAGGCTTTCCGACGAGGAGGGAGGCGGGTAAATGTGGATATTGCAGGGGTTGGGGGGGGGGGGGGGGTTAGCATGTTGCAATGCTTTTCTATATAAAGAGAGAGGTAATTTGCCTTCGTCGATCATTCTGAAATCTACTGTATGTAATGTGTGTAATACTTTTTTTTTATTATTCCATCGGCATCGCTGACTTTTGCAGGTATGTTCAGTCATGTTCATTTCTATTCTTTATCTATTTTGTTATCGCTGTTATTATCTTTCTAATATGATAATATTAATAATGATTATTATTATTGGTATTATTGATATTATCCTTATTATCATTATTATTTCCATTGTTATTCTTATTTTTGTTATTTTATTAATTTCCATTGTTATTATTATCATTATTTTCCATTGTTATTATTATTATTTTCCATTGTTATTATTATTATAATTTATCATATTCTTTTAGAAGCTTGTTCACAGAAATCAAGTTTGATAGTGTCTGAGGAAAGGTCATGGACGATTCCTCTTGTCTGTGTTTCAGTCATTCACTTATTCATTAATTTAATTATCTTTTAATTTATCTCTTGTTGATATTATGATTTAGTCAATTAATTTTTTTATATATATTTATATGTTTCTTTTTTTATTATTATTATTTTGTATATGACATTCTTTGTCGTTAAAACTCTCCAAATACAAGCGAATTTCTTCAGACTTTCGCCTTTTCTCATCTTCATAAATCTGTGTCCATTCTCTCTAAAAGTTTTTTATCTGAACAACGCTTTTAAATCCTCATCGAGCAGTTTCACCCAAATGTCGCATTTTGCTTCCCCAACCAAATATTTTTTTTTTTATCTTTACATTAACTGTATAGTTAAGTGTCTTGTTAACTAACTCTACGTAGCCTTTCGAAGACCTGGAAGACCTCCTCTATTTATGCTTTAATATCAATAAATACATACACGCGCATATAGATAGATAGATAATATAGGTAGATAGGTGTGCGTGTATACACTTGCTCATATGTGTGTGTGTGTATGTGTGTGTATGTGTGTGTGTGTGTGTGTGTGTGTGTGTGTGTGTGTGTGTGTGTGTGTGTGTATGTGTGTGTGTGTGAGTGTGAGTGTGTGTGTGTGTGTGTGTGTGTGTGAGTGTGTGTGTGTGTGTGTGAGTGTGAGTGTGTGTGTGTGTGTGTGTGTGTGTGTGTGTGTGTGTGTGTGTGTGTGTGTGTGTGTGAGTAAGCTAGACGTTAGCATATAGTATCTTCTCTTCCTTCTTATTGCTATATAATCCACTTTTCTTTTCTTTTCTTTCTCTTATTTTTACTAAAGAAAGACACGCCTTCTTTAATTTCTGCCTTAAATCCATACACATCTCTAAAGATTTTCAGGTTACATTTGGCTTCATAATTAGTGATCCTTAAAGGGTATTTCTAAAAGCTTACATAAATACTATAACAATGATAATAACAATAACCATAGCAATAATGATGATGATAATGATGATGATGATGATGATGATGATGATGATGATGATGATGATGATGATGATGATGATGATGATAATAATAATAATAACAATAATAATAATAGTAATAACAATAATAATAGTAATAATAATAACAATAGTAAAACAAATAATAATGATGATGACAATAACACTAATGATAATAATAACACTGATTATAATTACCAAAATAATAATGATAGTACTCGTTATAACAACAATACTAACAATAAGTTTTGGACTCTCATTACCCTAGATTCTCACAAGCAATATTGATAACAAACTGATAAATGGAAAAGAAAAGACATCATAATCCATATACATATTTATTCTTTAAACATATAAATATATGATACTGCACAATGAGTAATATGGACATGTATCTCCAGTTATAATGACAAACACAGCTGTAATGTAAACACCAAACAAAGATCGTTACACTTTATTTACATATGCAGCAATCACTTTATTAATTTCTATATTTGTTTCTTTTGTTTTCATAGAATTTTTATTTTTCATTTTATTTATTTTTTTTATTCCAAGGATGGCATCACCTGGCATGGCTGAAAATCCGATATGACAAACTGTCTTATTTTGTGTATTATGATCATAGGAATAGCCGCTTGTTCATAATAAACCGAAAAAAATATATATGTATAATTCAAAATGGTCAGCAGAAACAAAAAGTTAAATAAAAAAAAATTCTCTGCCAATTCCAAGATAGAACTCGCAATATTAGCTATAAAATATAGAATGTTCTTATTCTACACATATTTTTTTTTCTTTCTTTCTTTCTTTCTTTCCAAGATGCATGTCGATATGTCGAGTCTCCCACGGGAAACCCCTTCGCCCAATGTCTCTCTATCTATATATGTAAAAATTCAAAGTTTGAGAAGTTTCAGCTCACATTAAATGAACACCCAAGCACTGGCACGCACACACGCAACGGCACGCACACACGCACGTTCACGCACACAAACGTTCATGAAACCACCAGCGATCGATACACATGACGGGTAAACCTCATGTATTCGTTTCATAAGACACTAACACGGCTATGACTGACATCTCAACTAGTTTTTTTTTTATTCATTCACTAAATAGTTTATTCTAGCATTTTCTAAAACGTTGCTTCGATAAAAATAATAATAATAATAATAAATTTACGACAGCTCTACTACTAAGAATAAACTTCTATCTCGAGAGAGGCGATACGCATGTAATAATAAATTTAGTTATCGTATGATCCATAAGAGCAAATACCTGAGATAACAGGTCTAAATAACGGAAAAAATAAAATCTATAATCCGTATAACTCGATTATAATTCCATTCTAATTAACCATCACCAAAATAAATAAATCTAAGGAATTACTCGCCATTTTTCAAAAAAATTCTCAACAAGGGTTAAAATGTCAGTCATAGCCGTCTTAGGCCGTGATGAACAACCATCGGGTCTGACCTGTATGACAACGCTCACGCTTTCACTCGTCACACACCTGCCAAGCCCAAGCATCCCGGGAAAAGCCACACCAAGCCCGATCGGTGAGGGTCGTCAGGAGTATACGTGTACGCCGTTCTTGGTTTGTCTCCGTGTGTACATGTATATATAAAAGAATATAACTAAATAAATACAGCATATATTCATATACGTACATGCATACATATGCATATATATATATATATATATATATATATATATATATATATATATATATATATATATATATATATATATATATATATATATATATATATATATATATATATATATATATATATATATATACTGAGACACTGAAA